TGCCGAGGCAGGCCCGCCTGGTCAGGAATCGTCCCAAGGTACAGCCCGGATGTACAAAGTTCGTGAACTCTTTGAGCCTAAAGATGCACTCAGGGACTTGGGACTGCCAATACTTCAATGGCCAGGGCCTCTGTTTAGTTATCGATCCACCAGTAATGAAGGTCGTTTCTTGTCTATGCTTGGGCTGAGATCTTTTCCTTCTGTTCCTGAACTTATTGATCTGATGTCGTCGACTGATTTCATCCTCCGAGACAAAGCTATGGTTTACTTTATTGCAAACCATCACATGAATGGTTACGCGAGCTTTGATCTCAATCACACTAGGAAAGGAATTCTTCCAATCGAAGGCGATGAGAAACGAAGAGTTGCCCCTTATGAATGCTTCACGAATGAGAAGAGCTCTGTTCTTGGTTTCGAAATATTGCGACAAGAGCTTCGTATCCATGCTAACAAATTTGGTGTTGCCGTTGATCCCCCAATTACAGAATGCGTCAATCGACTTATCAAAAGTCCTCCAAAATCTCGCCGTGAAGCTATCACACTCTTTGGATATTTTTCGAGTAGACTCGGTGAGGTTGGTCTCAATAGTTGTGCTAAACTGAGTGATTCACCTATCGTTCCTATACCCGACAATCGAGAAATTACGAGCGGACTTTCCAATGAAAAACCACAACCTTCGAATAAGATCAAGTATCTTACACCTCGACAATGTTATCTGGGAATTTCTTCAGAATATAGTAATATTTTTGACTTTGTTGATTTTGGTAGCGAGGCCAATACATTTCTTCTTAAGTGTGGGTCTAAAAATGAGCCTACCAAGTTAGAACTTGCTGCTCTGGTTTGCCAAGAACCTGCTCGTCTTCTTGGAATCATGCAAAGTCCTGAAAAGTACTTGAATCTCCTGAGGTCTCTTGCAATTGATCTGCCCATGCTGAGAAGAGACACGGCTCTATTCAGGCAGATGAGAGTTTCCAAGTTTCTTCTCGGATCCAAGGAAATCTCGGCTGCCAAGGAAATATCAAATACGACCAGTCTTATAGACCAGCAGGATCTTGAGGTGGAAGAAACTGAGGATGCCCCCCTTAAGCAGTGGCATTTGGAGCAACCTAATCAGATTGTTGTTGTTGATGATTACAACAGCTACCGTCTCTTCAAAGAGAATTTGGTCTGCGCCCCTCTAGAGGACACTTTGGAAGAGTTTTATCTCGCACTTGGATCTACCAATCTTAGTAACATTGTACAAGAAGATCTTCGTGTTGGTCAGGCTGTTCCATATCAAGGAGATTCCGTCAAACTCCGTAAACATATTCTTGAGAGATCAAAATTGTTCTTGCATGAATCACCACGTGAGAATGTGAAACGGGATAGTCGATGGCTGGAGAAGAACTTGACGGTACAAGTTGTCAGTGGCATACAAGTCCGACGATCCTTGAAAGGCCACAATCTGTCGAATACAGAAAAAAGAACTGCTGCCTGTATTCAAGAGCGATACAAAGGGTTACAACTACTGGTGACTAATGCATATGATACATATCAAATTAGTTTGGCTATGTGCAAGCACTTATTAGCTCGCCCACAACAACAGTCATATCTTACGTTTGAATCTTTTCTCACTTTATCCTTGCAGCAATTACGTTCTCGTGGTTACAATGTGGAGAGAATTCTTAGAGCCAAGGCAGCTGAGGCACGGATTGCTGAAGAAGAAAGAAAGAGACAACTCGAAACAGAACAGGAACAAATTCGGGAGCAAGAAAACCAATGGCGAGAAGATCAAAAAGAAGAGGCTGCCGCTTCTGCACGAGATGAAAATCGTCGAAATTCTCATGTTGCTATGCCCGGCGCATTTGGTTCCGATTCTCCATCACCACCTCAGGCAAAGAAAGAAAAGAGTCGAGGATTATTCTCAAATCTTTCGCGACGTTTTGGTCTTGAAAGCAGCAATGACGAACCAGTGAAATCACCGACACCATTGTCCGTAGATGCTCCACCACCCCCTTACTCTGAGACTACCGGTCAGAAACCCCAAACAGAAAGTGTTACTTCCAACGGCGCCATCAAACAAAATCTGCTCAATGCCATTCAATCATCTCGAGCTCATGATTCCTCCGACCTTTTTTCCCCTCCCTCTACCAATCAGGTTAAGGAACAAGCTGAATATTGCGATTCAACTTCCGGTCAAAACCTCTCCTACTTTGCAGATGCTTCTAATGGCACTCGTATCTTCATATCTAATGATAGACAAAACCCTGACGGTCCCAATCTTACCGATTTCCTCGCTGCAAATGTCTCTCCCCTCAATAGCTTCGCAGCTTTACTTCATGAAGCTGCAGATATCTATAATTTGCCTAGAAAAGCTATCCATATTTTCTACGATGATCACGGGAATACTATTGCTTTCAATAGCCAAGGAAGTATATTTTGTAACTTTAGGTTTTTCCAACAATTACATCTTAAGAAACTGGATTCAAAAAGTGGAGAGGAAAAAGTAGATGCGGGCGCTTATTGGTGGATAGTACTTGCTCATGAATTGGCCCATAATTTGGTTGGACCTCATAATTCTGATCATAGTTTCTATACGTGAGTATTGCCCTTTGTTTGTCCTTGAATCCATTTTTCGAAAGGAGAATGAACGGAAGCTAACATTTATATCAAAAAAGTGAGCAACTAATTGCGAATTACTTCCCGAAGATGATGGCGAGAGCAAATAAATACACGACGGTGGCACCAAATACCGCCAGTGACAACGCCAGCACCAGTGGACACTAGAGATGTGTGAATCAATAATTGGAATTACTGTTATTACCAATTTCAAACACAGCCGACAAAATGAGCAGATAGACTTGAGATGGGGTCTCCTACATAATTCTCATTCTCATTGCACATGATGTAAATATGTGTATCATTGTTCAATTCATAGCTATGGCGTTTATGGCGATTACATTGAAAGGGATGGAGTGATACATAGCGGACAAATTTTGGGTTTTGGGTTTTCGTTTGCGTAGAATACTTCATAGATAGATGTGTGTGCCTTGAAAACAACTCTTCATCATTACCTTTGTATAATCCAAGTATAACAGAGACTCTCCAGACACAGTACTTGTTATGATTGAGAGATAAATTGTGATATCGCAGTGAAATATCTTGACAAGAGTTGCTTTGAAATTTGTCCAGTAATTTCTCAGACATCGGGTCCTGAAATCTGGAAAACAATCTCAGATCAAAGGAATTTGATTCCGTGAACCTTCCCTAGGAATCGTCTATTTAACGTCCAACATCGACAGTGAAGGGTCGATGAGGTTGGCATTCAGTCCTTTGAATTTTGATTAGTCACAAAGATTGATGTTACTTTTTTGATTTTAGCCAAATTAAATCTTAACGTTGATTACCACGTAGTAAGTCCTGCCTTTTGGTTATTTATCCGACCCCAATGAGGAGACCAAGTTGGTAAATGTCCAGGAGAATCGGAATATGTTAGACGACTTCCTGTGCAACTCCATAAGCGATATCCATGCGGCGTTCAACATGAGCTTGATGAGTAGTAATAGTCAGTCAGATAGTTCATGATGAGAGCTGAGGGCTTTTTTGTACAATAGAGGAGTACAATTGGTTGATGTTCATCAACGTCAATAGAAAACTGATAGTAAATCAACCTTTCCCTCACAAAAGCATAGTTATGCTTTCAACGTGTTGTCGTGTTGTCAACCCAGAAATGTGACTGTGGAGTAAATTGCCGACGGGAAAGCATCGAGGTAACCGACATCAATTACCAGATCTTATCGAATTTTCTTATCCGGCCTCTAAGTTTACCGGATTTTGAGAATGTAAACCCCGTAAACCTCCAGAGATCCTCCATATCTGCCTAGCATACATGGAAAACCCTCATAGCGGGGGATATTGGCCAACTAGAGATCCTACGCAGTACACCGTACAGTCTACATCGTATGTTGCTGTCGAGTTGTCAATTACAAATTTTTTCTATAGTAAAAACTTTTCAGGGGTCAGTCGGATCGGATACACTAAACCTTAGCGGATCGGGCTTAAGATGCTGACAGGGGCGAGCGACTAAGAAAGCTTCAACGGTCTAAAATACGAACCATACAGATGGAGTGTAGAGATTCAGACCCACCAATCTTCCTTGTTAAATGCATTCATCATACATCATACACAATGGATGCGTGGAGTATGATGGCATTCATCATACATCATACATAATGGATGCGTGGAGTATGATGTATGAGACATCATCGGCCGAACACATTATTCCACAAAAGATTCAAGACAAAAACGAAACCATCGGCTTTACAAAGCACATGGTCAATAACCAAAATCTAGATCCTAGTATTCAATGGAGCTAATATTGAGATGGATACGGTAGTAAAGCATAGAGCAGCTTTCTATTTTGACCCTCTTGAACCTGTTTTACTACGGATTTTTTGTACCTCAGTAAGCAGGCGTACACAGACGCTTCTAATAGAGGAAAGCAGCTTTAGACTTGAAGAACAATACTTGACGGAAGTGGGAAAAGAAAACCTTCACTATCCGTAATATTTATGGACAAGAGCGAGTTCATTGAACCTTTGCTCTCATGTTTAATGAGAAAGAGAAGTGTGAACAGTTTTATTCTCCCCCCGAAGTGCCGACTACAACGAAACGAATGCCTTGACTACAAATTTAGATCATCAACATAGTTCCAGCCAATTCCATCTTTTCCAGCATCAGACTTTTCATCCCATATCCTTGACCATTATTGACGGCTCAAGCGCAATACCTAGAGCTTCAACATTTCCGAATCAGGGCCCAATCTTTTCTTATCTATCTACCTATCATGACTCCACCCAGATTTGTAATTCCGAGTATGGAGGCAAACGATGACATTTTCACAATGAAGGGAGTAGATATAAAATCCATGGTCCAAATTTTGTTTTTCAAATCTTTTTTTCGTTCAAGACAAAAATTATACCATTAATTTCGAAATATCAAAACTTAAATCTCTCCTCAAAATGTCTACCGATTACAAGTTCCAGGGATGGTTGGGCCTCGACTCCGAAGCCGCCAATGGCAAGATGGTTTGGCAAGAGTTTGAACCTAAGCCTTTCGAAGAGACAGATGTCGATATCAAAATCACTCACTGTGGTATTTGCGGTTCTGATATTCACACTTTGAGATCCGGATGGGGTGCATCTGATTACCCAGTCTGCGTCGGCCACGAAATTGTTGGAAAGGCTGTCAGAGTTGGATCCAAGGTGAAGGATATTAAACTTGGAGATCGTGTTGGTGTTGGTGCTCAAAGTGGTTCTTGTATGAACCAAAAGGGTGATTGTGAAGCTTGTGCTGATGGGTAGGTCTTTTACTCATCATATTGACGAATAATACTAATATACCTTAGTCAACAACAATACTGCGCTCACATGACCGCTACTTATAACAGCAAATGGGCTGACGGAAGCAAATCTTACGGAGGTTATGCTGATTACTGGCGTGGAAGTGGTGATTTCGTAATTAAGATTCCGGATTCAATCCCATCTGATATTGCGGCTCCTATGCTTTGTGGTGGTATCACAGCTTTCTCACCACTTGCCCAAAATGGTGCTGGACCAGGAAAGAAGGTCGCAATTGTTGGAATTGGTGGTCTTGGACATTTCGGTATCATGAGTGCAAAAGCTTTAGGTTGTGATGAAATCACCGCGATCTCTAGAACCTCGGCCAAGAAGGAAGATGCATTCAAGATGGGTGCTACTAGATTCATTGGTAAGTGTTTTAACTTTATGAGTTGCAGTGGAGAGTTTTACTGACTTTTGAATGTATAGCTACCGATGAAGAACCAGATTGGGCCACAAAATACGGAAATTCTCTCGACCTTATCGTCAGCACTGTTTCCTCACCAAAACTCCCACTTCAAAGCTACCTTACCCTTCTCAGATATCAGGGTAAATTCATCCAAGTCGGTGCTCCTGAAGACACTATTCCTGGATTCAACAGTAAGTTATTGTTCCTTTAGTTTCAAAAATCATTATTAATACAAATTAGTGTTCTCCCTCATCCTTAAGAAGCTTTCCATCGGTGCTTCGCTCATTGGTCCCCCACATGAGATTAAGGATATGTTGGCACTCTTCGCTGAGAAGGGTGTTAAGACATGGAACAACAATGTCCCAATGAAGGATGCTAACCAAGCTATTGTTGACATGGAGGATGGTAAAGCAAGATATAGATATGTCTTGGTTAATGAGAAGCATATCGACGCTTAAGTCTAAGATTTCGTGTATTAATAATGTAATGAATAGAAATGAATGATAGATTGTACGTTTATGAGTTAAACCTTAGTTTATATGGTAGACCTCGAGTTTGTATGTCAACCCTTAAGCTCACGTATTATAGATCCCAATCGGATTGTTTTAACTTCGTTCTTTTGTATCCATTCTGTCGAAGCATAGCAACGGGATAGGTGATTTTGGTCTTGTCATCTACTTGAGCATTGAATATTCCGACCCTAAGCTACCGTTATCTACTTCACATTATCCACTCGCAGAGTTTAGATCTTGTAAATGACGTTTACCATCGTACCGACCGACTGCGTCGTCTCGGCTACAAAACTTGTCCAAGTACCCCGGATCTGACACCAAAATTAATTTTACTTACTCTTCTAGACTTGGTACATATCTGTGAATCCACCGGGTATGTTATATGTCGATCCCCTGGAATCACTTGATTTCCCCACAACCTCGATTTACTCATTATAAGCCCCCATGAGTATAAGCGAATCTATAAGCTGCTTCTATTATATGTGGGTCGTTATCTCCACATACAGTTTAGGTTTCCAAATTTAAAGAGATGTGAGTACTTGCCGATCAATCAGTTTCTTGACCCACGTCTCTGATCCTTTCCGTACGCGGTAGCTAATTCACTCGTTTGTTGCCCTGCATTTCAGACTCTCTTCATATGCAGTAGTAGATCAATCAGTCTCTGTTTTGAGAGGTCGATTACTCCGCTTCTCGATATGCCTCTCCGTCCCTGTCCGCATTTTGTGAATGATCAATCGGTTCCTTGACCTACCTCTCTGGTATTCTTTTTATATGCAGTGGCAGATGCCCATTTCATGAGCAGCCTGCACGAAATCCTAAGATACTCAGAATGTGGTATTGGCAAAATTGAAATCGACTGCAGGGCAACGAATAGCAAGACTCTCTTCATTGAGATAGTTGTAAAGGCAAATAGATTGATGAAAACTCTCCAAAGACTTGGTTGCGACATTTAAAGGACAACTTTTAGTTCCACGAGCGGAGAGACCGCGCTTTTGATTAATGTATTCCCCTCGATCTGGCTCTCCGATGTCCCCCCATATACTCGAGATGATCAATCGGTCCGTTGATCTGCCTCTCTCACCATCTCCATGTGTACTATAACACGCTTCGATCCTAGAGTTTGCTCCATGCTCCAGCTCGGCTTGCATACCATTGTATCTTCAACCCCACCCGATTGCATCCCTTGTTATAAAATTTCTTTGTGTTCTCGATTTGCCTCATCTGCGGTATTTGAAGAATCCAGTTCTTGTTACCTCTCTTCGATGTCCAATCTAATCCTTCAAATAGATAGCGCCCCACGAATTGCTTCCTCGGTATGTTCATGATATTTTTCTTAAATGCGGAGCTCGGTTTGTATCCTTTGAATCTCAAATTATTCCTAATTGTACTGCTCGGTAAACATTCCTTTTCTGTTTCCGAATCTCTTCATGTACTGCACTCAAGGCATTAGTTCTTCTGTACACCCAGCCGGTTCTCTTTGTGTGTTGCATGATTGCACACACATTGGCTCCTCGGTAGGCCCCCCTGATTTTTCTTTTGTCATGAACTGCACGTATTAGCTTCTTGGCATGTCTCTTCTATCCTTCTCGCGATGCTAAAATAACTGTTCTTGCGGTACCTCCTCTCATTTCCCTTTTGTGCGGCACTCAATGAATTGGTCCTCCAATAACCCCCTACGATCATCTTTATTTCGGTAACAAACGAACTGCCACTCTGGAATTCTTCTCGTGTTTAACGCTTGTCATATTCGTTCCCGATGTATCTCCTTGACTCTCCTTAAATGCGACACCAAACGAACCAGCTCCATGGTATGTCTTCTGAACCATCTTTAAGTATGACGCTATCGTATTGCGTCCTCTGTATGTCCTCCACACTCGCTCTATGTTCGACGCTGGGCCGGTTGATTCCTCGGTACTCCACCTTGACTTTCTTCATTCGCGGTATCCAACAGAGCGATACATCAATAAGCCCCTCTGATATACTTTGTTCATAGCGGTAAGCTTTGCTGTGTGAAAAGCCGTCAGTATGGCAAGATATTTGGTGCACTTTCTAAGATTAGGAACAAGTCGTTGCCGAACTCAGCTATGAGTTTGCCGCTGGATAGAAACACATCCCAGACATCATATATACTCTCTTGTTATTGGAAAGCTCGCTGAGATGAACCGAATTGTCGCTGTCGCTATCGCTTTGATCGGATAGGTTGGTAGTTATAGCCGCCTTTCTCTTGAAGAATTTCTCCTCAAGCTTCGGAAAAACTTCCAAGTAACCCGACTCTGTATGAAACGCCCATTTATTACACCCTTTACAGAGAACTCTGTCCTTCTTCTTGCTCTTTGTATTATGTGCCGTAAGTGCAGAGCCTGTAGTTGATGATGTCTTGGCTTGATTTCTGCTCTCGTCAGCAATGTCGGCTTGGAAAGAATTCAGGGTTGGAGGTGTAGATTTGTTGGTCAATTTCGAGCGCTGACTTTGAGTCTATTGTAGTTAGTATGAATGTAAAGGACTGATATAGTGCAAAGCGTACCATTCTCTATGAAGTGGGAAACTCAACTTCTCCAAACCAGTAACAGTGTTATTGAACGCGATCATGAACTCCTCCACTGTAGTAGGGTCTGTATAGTCGATGGAGATAAAAGCATTAATAGCGTTAGCTTTAGTAGAGAACCCTGATTCCTTGTAATGAGCACACAATTTCTTCCACATTTCTGCCGCGGCCGTGCAACCTACGATAATAACATGACCATTTTCATGAATGTTGTATTCGATGGCAAGCTGTGCAATACTATCCTCGATCATGCTCCTGCCATGCTTTTAAACTAGCATGCCGGGCGGCTGTGCTCTCTGCCTTGACTGGTGGAAGGGCTTTGTTGATAGTAGTTGGGATTGGCAGTTTCTTTTAGATTTAGATAGCGAGGTATTCCAGCACTTTTACAGAGAATAAGAAAGTTCTCTCTGAAGGTAGGGAAATTCTTCTCTCATCTGGAACGGAAATCTGCTATCAGCATGACGGTCTTGAGGCCCGCCATCGCAAATCTTGACACCCCTATAACTGCAGAAAACATGTATATAGTTGAAAGGTACTGTGCAGGAAGAACCTGTGAAGTATTCGTCGGTGTGTAGTCCTAGGAAGGAGACGAATTATAGCCTGCGTGAAGTCCTGACGGCTCCTGAATATGCCATTGGCAATATCCAAATTGATCGCAAATCGACACTAACAACAAGACCACAACCCACATAAAGCTAGAATGTGCCATCGCTTATGTAAATTGGAGAGCCAAAATGTTAATGCGGAAGAAGTTCTGCAATGCAGATGTCGAAGAAGAAGGGTTGTAATATAGATATCGAAGAAGAGTCGCAATATAGAGTCACAATTCGAATTCCTAGGAAGCGCCACAATGCGGACGTCCAAGAAGCAGATGCGCAGTGCGAATCAAAAAGGCTTCGAATTCCCGCTGGAGCTTGCGCTCAAAGGTAACGGTATACTTTGATCCGCAAACAATTGAGACGATTGGTCCTGAGCCAGAATATACTGTGAATTATGGGAAATAACATTTGAGACGAGATAGTATTGCTTCTTGTTGAGATTTTGAGGTCATTGTAAAGTGAAATTCCGAAGATCGCATTGTGAGTATCTCCTTGCGGGAAGTGAGGAATGGACTAAACTCTAGCTGTATGGTATTTGTCGCGATACTTATTTGCGCTGACCTCATTATCACAGACATAAAGTTATCGTCTGACATCTGTAATCGAAAGTCTTTGTGTGTTTGGATTCCAGCTTAGGTTCTTGCGGGGGTTCGTGGTTGGGTTTCTGTAGACAGCAAGATGCCAGATTTTTTTGGGTCACCGCCACAATCATTTCCCTTGAAGGGCGACGATCAGTAAAACAATGGACTCACAGATCCATAGCCATTGATTAATATCTCAGGTAATTCATTGAAGTGAAGTAGACGTGACTGAGAGCTAAAGTTCTTGGCACTCAAGTAACAAATATTTGCGGAGAGCTGGGCATAATAGACGGCACGCATAAGGAAATATGTTTTAAGCAATTCATCTTCAACACAAATTCAAGACTCTTGATTCCGTAATGAGATTACTATATTTACATGCGTGGAAGACCTTCCAAATATCTTTTTTGTATGCCCGAGTCGGGAAGATCCAGTGAATCATCGGAACTTTCCCACCAATTATTTTGATCCAAAGACAATTCTTCCTCCCAATCCCAATCAGGACGTTGATGATCTTTGCTCTTGCAATTACGAATAAATGTATTATTAGCGCCATCTGCATACATAGTCAACCCCGCACTCACCTGCTCTCCCACTACCTACAACACTTCAAATTTACTTGTCACATTTGAATGACATACATCAACAATTCGCGAATTTAGTCCACTCGTACATACTCTGGCATCATTCAATATGGATAATCTTCCAAGTTACGAATTGACTCCTGGTATGCCGGTATTATCCTCAAGGCAAAAGCGTATGTTGAAAGCGTACGAGGTAGCGCATTGTATTGGTTTGGTAGATGAAATGTATCGCATGGCAGAAGAGGACCTTCTGACAGAAAAATTTCGTGAGACTTTCTCAACTTACTATATATGGATCGGAATACTAACGAGTAATTTAGCTGTCAGACAAAGTATGACATTGATGTTAGAAGACAGCGATGGTGAAATGGAAATGCTCAAACTCTTATACACAATTCACGAGAGAGTTCTGGTAGCCATAATCAAAGGTACAATTGGGCATGAATTGGTATCTACAAGGGGAAAAGAAAACGACCTGCGAAAGTGTTTGCTCCCGATCAATGCGCAAGCTGGTACCTACTTGATTACCTTTCTCAAGAAGGATTCCGACAAGTATTTGTCCATTTCTCAATTGGTAAAAGTTACTCAGCATTTAAAGAAGTGAGGGAATCCTGTCTAACTCTCTTGGCATTTATCTAACATTTGGCAGTTACCTGAGTTTTCACGAAAATCCATTGGGGGATGATCCGACGCCGGAAAGACTGTTGCAGTACGAAGATGCTGTCAAAATCGAAGCTCTTTTGTGTCCTGGGTATGAGCTATCACACATACAAGACAGTGTCAAGGCTGGTACGATCAGTAAATTTTTTTACGAATTCTGATCTATTGATCAAGAGGTTGGAACATTGAAATTCGCAGGATATTAACGAATTACTGGGGACTGCTTTTCGTACACAGTCACCGAGTTATGTTGGTTGTAGCAATCACATATCTGTACGCCTGGACGAACACAATCCAGTAACCAAGGCCCCGAAAGATACTTGTGTTACGGTCTTTCTAGCATGTCTCGAGCATGCTGGTATCGAATTTGATAGAATTGAGATGGCGATATTGAAAGTTTGGGAACAATCTCAATTTAGACTTGGTGAAGCATTAGTCACCATGCTGGCTGGATCTCTGGTATGGGAAGGTGGACTCAATGCCGTACAAGCAGGTGGTCAACCGCTCGATATGGGCGATGTGCGAAGCCTGGACGTTTGCGAGGAGTTATTTTTCAAGACAGATTGGACAATACCAAACTTTGAAAAGTGTCGAGAAATGTTTGAAACTTATCAACGACGGGTACAAAGGGTAGCAGATTTTGATCCGACTGAGCGGTTGGGTGAATTGCGAGAGATGGTAAAAGGTGTAGGTGAAGATATCGAGAATCTTGATAGAGATCTCGATCAAATTAGTGAGATGACGAAGGAAAAGATTAAAATGGGGGAAGCTGTCCTTAAGCAATTGGATGAGGATAAGGTGGAAATGCAAAGACAAATTGATGGGTATAATTTGGAAATAGAATTTGCGAAAATGTATCTGGAATGGGTCAGGGATGTGAATTCGGGTAATGCATAGGTCAAGGAGCTTGACAAACTGTAGAATAGAACATCCTATCCTCTCATATGAATTGCTTTATTTCTACCATTTGATCATCCCAATTGAAGTGATACACTCGTTCCTATCGTTACCCATTCCACCATTAACTATCATTCGATCTTGACTATAGCGTACCACATCATCAATTGGTCCATCCACTCATACCAAGTGCAACTATTGTCCTCTAGACTCTGGCTTGGAGATATCCATCTCTGATTTGGGCCAATTCCCATCAGGTACCCATAACCGATAGTAGAACAATACATAACGACCATCATCCATGACAGACCAATCGTGATTACCAGATATACCCGATTTCTTTGTAAATTTGCCAGTAGGAGCGCATTTTAACTCTCGACCATCTTGACTATAGATACGGATGTGCTCGGGAAGGCCATGTGTAGTTCTCACGACCGCACAGAGGTGATATACCAAAGATTGAACCCCAATGGATTTACAATTTCCTTCGATACTATCCTTCGCGTAGGGGCCTTTTAACTCGAGTACCCTCAAATTCGATACCGGTTGAGATTGTCTTTCAACGTTGTATTCAATTGGCAATATCGAAATTGATTGCACACCGACACTAGAAGCAAGCCGGTAGCCCACATAAAGTCTTGTGATGTCCAGAATGTGCCATCGCAATGCCTACATTGAAGAGCCGCAATACAACCTTAGAAGAAGGGCTGTAATGTAGATGTAGATGCTGAAGAAGAAGAGCCACAATGCGCATGTGGAGAGACGGCTGCAATCTGGATGTTGGAGATGGGCGTTGCCCTTGGAAGGAGGTCTGCAATACAGATGTAGATGGTGAAGAAGTCCTGCATCCCAGGAAGCACCCCAATACAAAATTCGCAATGCCCATTTCCAGAAAGAAGAGACACAATTCAGATGTTGAGGAAGAAGATCCGTAATGTGTATGTCCAAGAAGAAGATCTGCAGTACGAATTTAAAAGTCTTCCAATTCTCGCTCGGGCTTGGGAGAATACTTCATACAGTGAATTTTTGAAATTCAAATCGACCACCACGATCCAGCGTGATTGAGGTAGCATTGTTGATGTTCTCAACAAGGCTACGGAATACGGGGACCTCACTCGCCAGTTCGTGAAGCTAATGATAATTTGATATGGTTAAAAATCCAACTTCCAAGCGCAGCCCGTAATATTTTTGGATACGGTCCCTTGTTTTTGACTTATCTAATCTTATAGAATAACTTGGAAGTTTTAACTTTTAAGATCGTAAATCCATTGTCTTTCTCTTACAGCGACAGCGGAGTAAAGAGTCCACGCCTTTTCTTGAACAAAAAAATGGTAAGTCTTTCCTAGCTCTGTCGATGATTACCTTTAACCAAGTTTTTGTGTAGGAGAAAATAAATCTTTCGAGTGTCTTCAGAATTTCAGCCGCCACTGATGGCGTTCCTGATGTGAAATCCTCAGAGATGAGCTCATTGCTTGGAATTGGTGCTTTCATCACAGTAAGATGCCTCTAAAGCTTTGCTCAAATTCAATCGTCTTAGGTCTCATGATTTTCAAAACTAACAATATCTGCACAGAACAAATCGAAGACTAGACTTGTGGTAACATTCCAATTTCATACAACACAGACTTTGGACTTTGTGGAAAGTAGTGCGGCGCAAATGGTGGACCAAGAATATAAATTGTTGATAGAGTTATTTTCGAATCTGAATATTGACGATAAAATCTTCTTCCCGTTGGATGCCACCACGAATGATAATCTCATGATATCAAAGAAGTCGACTTATTTCGACAACTACCATAAGAAGATTACACTACCTGCGCATCCTCGGATAGGGCTTGGGATTCAAGCCATGGACAATGCGATCTCGAGAACGGTACCAGCGTCAGAGAAAAACAGGAGACTATATCGACATGTTCAAATGCGAAATCATAAAGGCAGTCTCCCGCTAAAAAGATTCACCTTGTTCTCAAAACTTCCTGCGGAGCTCAGAGTCAAGATATGGCAGATGTCTTTTGTCGGAAGAACGATTGTGGTTGATGAGGACCCCAGAACGATAGAAGGAGCTGTTGATTTTAGCAAGAATCGTGTCATAACATCAAACCCAATTCAACTTTTGATTAATAGAGAGAGTCGGGCAGAAGTCAAGCGACATTACATCTTTCAAAAGAACCATCAAGCCACTCTGGCTGTCCAAACTCTAGGAAAGTATAAATCCAGGTATCTCACGAACCGTTTTCATCCGGAGAATACCTTCCTACCAAGTTTTGGTATATATTATCATCCAAGAATAGATGCGCTCTCGATACTTACCTCTAGCGTCTACAATAATGCGATCCTTTGGTGTCTACCAATTTGTGGCTATGAGCTTTATCGCTTTCGATACATGCAGACTATAGTGATTCGTGAGGCACGTTTGAGCGCCGGGGACATCGGTTCTTTCAACGACTACCGGCGCGGAAGACTAACTTTTTCTTTCTGGGGAGATACACGTTTTTGTCAAATCCGGGAAATATTGATATACCCGGGTAAATCTGTCAGATTTACCGAAGATAATCTGCTCTGTACTGAGCTGGGTAGAAAGCAAAGCTTGGAATTTCTCAACGAAATATTCAAAGAAGTCTATCAGCTTGAGGAGAAGGCTGAGGGAAGTCTTCAAGCTCCGAGGATCACCATCTACCTTGAAGATCCTTAAAACTTTAGTAATCTACAACAGTTGAATCTTCTTATTTCGCGATGTATTTGAATCCGTGTTTTACAACAACAATGTGAGGGCACCGACTAGAATTGCTCTTGAGATGATCATTAATGTCATGACACGTGACGAAACCCGTCCGATAGTACACCAACGCCGGTAGGAGTTGCCAGCAACATAGCGCTATGACATCGGAGTCAAACATTTGCTGCCCCCTTGATGAATGTTATTGATTTTAGTATAACCCCATACGGAAAGCTTCTCCTCTGGAAATTCAAAGGAACTTTCGTATCTGCACGTACTTGAATCGTTCTTTGTCATGATTTTTCGCATATCACCCCTCGATCTCTCGGAGGCTCAGTCCGATTGTTTATGGGACTGTTTGAGGGAAGTTGTTTCAGACAATTCTGATCTATCCTATGAAATGCTGAGATTTCTGATCAATATTGGCTTGTTACGCAAGGTGTTTTGGAACGATCTTGGTGTGTTGCTTTACAATTGAGTCGTCATCTCGAATCCTTGGCAGTTTGAAGTGTATGATTTTTGCGGTGATGTGACAATGTGATACTTCCAAGAACAATCTATCCTTTCCATTCATCTATATGAACTCAGTCACTCTGAGGAAAATCTTGATAACAATCCATTTAATTTAATTTTGAACTCAACCTGACACGTAGAATTAGCTGCAACATGTTCTGTGTAATTTCCGTACTCACTGTTGCGCTCGCCGGCGGGGCATCAGCTTTCACGCCGTCTGGGTTTGAACCATCTTCCACTAACGATCTTACTGTTGCATATGGCTCTAAGCTTGCAACAAATGGAATCCAAATGTTGCGAGCTGGTAGGATTCTTTCTCTAAGTTGCATCGCGACGGCATGCTAATAATTACTCAGACACAGCCAGTGCTCCTATTCTTGGTACAACCACAAAAATGAGTGGTACCTACGCAGTAATGATGGTAGATCCCGATATTCCACCCGCAACAATTGGGGGTGATACTTCACAATTCCTCCACTGGATGCAAGCCGATCTCACATCATCAAATACCACGACGAATATCGGAGGTCAAAAGATCTACGAACTGATCAACGTAAAGAACACATCTGCATTTGCCACATATTTACAACCAAACCCTCCAGATGTAGCGCCAACTACTCATAGATATACACAATTATTATTCAATACCACAGGGATGAACATGAGTCTAGCTTCCCTTCAAATGGCGGGAAAAACTCGAGGAAATTTCAACGCCGCGGATGTAGTTAAGAGGGCAAAGTTGACAGTATTGATGGGAAATTCATTCGATGTTTCATTTGGAGACAAAGCCATAAATACTACGGGGGCTTCAAGTGGAAGCTCTACCTAGACTTCCACTTCGACTTCCTCAAGAAGTACTTCAGCGTAGACTTTGAACTCCACACCAACTACCACTGGTCTTTTACAAAGTACTGGTGGGGCAGCTGGAGTGAGAAGTGGAGATAGGGTTCTACTTGGACTTGTAGGATTGGAGGCCGTGATTGCAGCTGTTACGTTTCTTTGAATATTGGATTGCCAAAGTATTTCATTGCATGTTGTTAATGGCACGGGTTTTATGTCCAACAGTCACAACTACCTAATATAATCTATGTATTACAAAAAATGTGAGCGAACTCAAGAGATTAATATTGAGATCAATGCTTGCAAAATCTGCCAGGATATCCGGTTTTATAACATATTTGGAGAATTCTTTCTTCAACATATTGTGACACATACCAGTGGAGAATCCAATGAACGATCGATGTCCTTTTGACACTCCGTGGAACAAAACCTAGTTATAATTCCGGCATTAGCATCATGAAGGCGAGTCAAAAGCTGAGGTGATTGCTATGGACCCTAAATGGGGGGTATCTTGGAACAATAGCGAAAAAAAGGATCAAGAAATTGTCCTCTGGGACAGGAAATTTAATGCGCGCAGAGATATTGTCTTTGGATATCAACTTCTCATCTAATAAGGCTGAGCTCTGAATCAGAAAAGAAAAGGGATTCTCAAAGGTCAAAGTACAAGAAAATGTCTTAATTTCACCAAAAAATTTCTTTCTTCTTCATAGAGTATTTAATGACCTTGAATTACAGCCACTACCTAATTTCTAAAGTCCATCTGCCAACAGATTCTGGTTCCAACACTAAATTAGATCTGGCGTCTCATGATTACCAGCAACTTTACCCATCTTCAATACCCACGAAACATGACCATCTCAATACCCCAACTCCTTCGGAAACACTAGAAAATCCTCAGCCAGAGCTGCCAAGATCTCATCATTACTACCTTTACCATCATATCTTTCTCGTAGATACCGGCGGATCTGTGTTATAAAAGATTAGTCGTTGAGGCTTAGTATACAAAGTGACAAATGAAAGAAGTGCTTACTGTCAAAGACAATGCAGCAGGTGAGTCCGCTGCAAAAATACCACTATCCTTACTAATCTCCGCAACCAACTCTTCCCTGGTGTACTTGTCATCGTACAGCTCTCGCATGCGACGACCAGTCTGTGTAACATTAGTATTAAGTAGAAAGTTGGGACAGAGTCTTGTACTTACCGCGATTTTGAAAGCCTTCGTGGTTTCCCGCGCAGAGGCTCCACACTACCCGACGAAGAAAGAGCTGTTGTACCCGGAGTGACCGAGGCTGCAATCTGCCCGGTGCCAAGGGAGATTGTTGCATCATTGAAGCTTGCAGATGCTACCTTGATTGCCGGTGGAGAAGCCGAACCCGCAGAAGAAAGGATTGGGGCTACCGATCCAGAAACTATGGTCCGATTTACCCAAGGACGCGGGGCTTTGGGGGGGTCCATTTTACCAGGTACCGGCTTGTATGCGGTGGAAGGTGTCATACCAGCTGAGTACCTGGGTCCGGTAGGAGGTATGGATCCAGGAAAAGAGCGAAAGGATCTACCATCGGCATTCGTACTACCAGGGCTGCTACGGAGATGGTTGGGTACCGAGATGACGTGATTCTGAGCGTGGGGCAGCTCAGGATGCTTTATCAGCCATGCCCTAACATGACGTCGATGGTATCCGGGTACACGTTGCGTTTGGTCCAGCCGCCCAGATACGACTGGTAATCATCCAGAAATTCCATCATTGATGCCAAGTCGGCAAGAATGTACCCTTCTCGACAGTCTCGAAGGAGTTCATTCTTTACCGACAAGTGCACAAAGACTACATCCGTGCTCTGTCTACCTCTATCAACATCTCTCCTTGATATTGAGAAGTGATACCTTGAGTCCAATACCGAATTCGCCATTTGTAACCCGACGATGTATTGTGGTGGCACCGTAGTACCAAAAGTCAATCGGAACGCTAGCGGATGGTGGAGAGCGATACCGAAGAATGGGATCCAATACTACAAATTGATGAAGTTAGCCATCATTCCTGTACAGGACATAGAAATTGTGTCGTTTAAATGATGAGAACTTGCTTACCCCAGCTTGAAGCTTCCAACCATGGACGGAAACCCCCATGTTGTGCGTCGCCACTTGGTGCATTCTCGGAAGAACCCTGCGATCACCTAGGTCCCCACTACCAAACATCGCACCTGCACCAACGGTACGCCAATGCGCGGCGGCACGAATTGCGCGATCCCGCGAATACCTATCCTCGTTGGAAGACTGATAATCGCTACCGGTGCTCGAAAGCTTGGTACGGGAGCGCTTATTGTGAAGCGTACCATTTTTGGCATCGAAGCCGGTCTGCCTACCATTACCACTACCATCGCAATCATCATTACCAGCATCTTCTTGAAGAAGATATCTTCTTTTGGCTGGAATCATGGTTGCGGAAGGAAGGTTGAGGGTTGGGTAATGGAGATGGATGCAGGTAATGAAACTCAGAAATCAACAATTTTGAGGATATATTTTGTTTACGATTATCTCGCTTATTTTTTCCACCAAACCACAAAGATGTTATCTCATTTTCAAACTCTCTTTGTCGATAAAATTTTTATAGTATTGAAGATTCATATTGGTCTTTTTGATACTATTGATATTTTGGATTGTTTACTAATAATCAATTTTTTTCAGCCAATCAGGGATCAGGGGGAACGTTTATCTCTTCAAGAGTCTGAGAGTATTTGGATATGTTTTTAATAAACAATTCAATTTGTTTGGTAAAAGCACTTCAATTATATATATTATCCTTTTAATTATTATTTATTGAAAAACTAATTAAAGTATTCGAAAAAGCTTAATTGATATTATTATATAAATCGGCTTTAAATTGATTAGAATTGTGATTATTATAAAATTCAATTAAAAAGTTTTTTTTCCAAATCAGTTAAATTATTTTTAATGATTTCAAATTATCTTTATTAATAATAAAAATAGTATTAATCGAATCACTTTATTGAGCTAAATACCTTACAAGTCTTTTCAAATATATTAGTAGCGTTGGGATTATATTATTGGTGGTAATTAAATTTTGAATATAAAATGCCTTAAGTTTAAGACATTTTGCTTCAGAATTTTAGAGCTAAGAGTATTCAACCTTTTTGAAATCAATAATAACTTTTATTATTTAAGATTCTGTTTATATAAGGAGGATGAGCTAAATAAAAGGATTTCTGGAATATATATTTTTTAATTGAAAGTTGTAGTGATAATGGATTTCGAAGGGGGTGGGTGCTTATTTTATTGAAATGTTACTATTTGAAATATTACTTTTTAATTTTCAAAGCTATATTTGTATATAATCTAATAGAGCTATAATAATAAAAATTATATCAAAATAATGAGAAAAATCAGCTCTATATATTGAATCTGCACTAAAATAATACGATTGTTGAATGATTTAATAATATTAATTAAAAAATCAGAAAAAGCTGAATTGTTACTATTCACACTAAAGCCGGAACCAAATTGTTTCAGACCCTACGGTGAACCTTCGGGAGGCCCCTGCCTCGAAAACAAGGCCTCAAGCCTATTATGTAATCACCGTGTGGTCTGAGGATGAGATAACAAAGATGAGCTTTGCGACTTGAAAAATGTCAGTACCATCGACCAAAACAGTGACTCAGAACGTGCTTTGAGTTTTTTTCCTTAAAAAAAAGGCAAGAATCTTTTCAGACTAATATCATTCATGATAAGAATGTTAAGGGCAAGTGATACTTGTAGCAGCTATGTTCTAACAGTTTTGAGGGAAGAGCTGCGTCTTGAGCTCAAATAAATCCATAAGTATATTGATCACCTTTACAGGATACTCGCCGATTGCTGAGTGGGAAGTGCTATTCGAGCTGATAAATTCAATTCACAATGAACATCAAATTTTCTGGACCAATGATGGCTCGTGGTACAAGTGAAGGAAGTATATACATCCATACAAAATGCATTCTCATATAACCAGGATGGTCAATGTATCACCGGTACAGACATATTTCATCTGTACATTCAATTTCACTTGAACAGACTCATCATATAGCTTCAAATGAATCCCCCACTGACCTCTCCTTCTTCACCACTGATCATGTACCTCTTCATGCTATCAGATCTATATTAAAGAAGAACATCGCAGATATGAAGATAATAAATGGCAAATTTAAAGATCCGGCAACTAGGTACTTATACATCATACTCGGTTCTTTTCAAAGAGGTGGAGCTTTACCATCAAGCAACAACCACTTTCTTCAAAGAAAAAGATACTCTCGCGCAAAATGTCGAAAAAATGAGATCTCAATTAGATGAAGATATGAAGAGGTTGGAAATCATGGCTGGTGATATGTCAAGAGTCCAAACTATTGACAAACCCTTTCTACCAGTACCCATGCCACCAGAAGGTTCTGGAAATCATCTTCCTTCTTCGCGGCCCTTTGCACCGGATTCTACAACGCTACCAAACCTGCGTCGCTTTCTCATCCACAATTCTTTGAATACGCAACGCCTTTGAATACGTGGCGCTCCTATATTCACGACCTTTTGAATCCCTGGCTCTTCGAATATACAGTATATCTGTACCTGCAGCCCTACAAATCAGCAACACCTCTTAATTTGTAGCCCTCTGAATCTGCGACATTCCTGGCTCCGCAACTCTCTTGGATCCACCTCTCTTTGAGCTTGTAGCTCCTTTATATCTGCAGCTCTGTGAATTCCCGTCATTTCCACATCCGCGGCGCTTCAGACTGCGCGATACTCCTGAATCTGCGACGCTCTTGCATCCGCAATCCTTTGGATCTACCGCCTTTCGAATCTACAGCGTTTTGAACCCGCGACCCTTTGAATGTACATCGCTTCTATATTCGTGGCGCTTTGAATCTGCTGCTCTTCGAGTTTGCGAGACCCCTGTATTCGAACATTCATGAACCTACAACGCTCCTGCATCTGCAGCACTTCTAAATCTACACCACTTCTATGTCTACAGCCCTTTGGATGTTTAGCGGCCTGAATCTACAATACTCCTAAATCCACGATACTCCTGAACCTGTGGAGCTTCTCATTTGCGAGGATTCTCAATTCGTGGCGAATCTCCGATCTTCAACATATTCCAATAATCACAACTTCCCTAACACACATACTACTCTCCACCATTGCAATTTCATCTCTCTATCTGTCATCGTGTTATTTATCACTTTGATGTTAATCTTTCGGCAAACGTTCCCGATTCCTCGAATCGCCACTCGATGCCAAGACTCGTAGCACCTCCAAGATTAACGAAACACATCTACGACTTCATGATCACTACTAAAATACCCTTTTTCAAAATGTATATTGAAACATTCTCAATTAATATCATGATATATTCATTCCTTTGATCGTCTATGTGGTTGATTAACTGTTGATTTATGAAATAATTTCACAGTGGAAGGATTGCTGTGGACAGAGTCTGAAGCTACCGATCACCCTAAGTGTGGGTGGTCAGCAGAATTGTCTAATAGCCGGCAGGCAACCTTTTCGTACTGTGACACCGTTTAGTGTCATGCTTGGTCTTTGGTACCTCTCAATCTATCTTCGATAGGTATTCAACTGCAGCAGCAGACGGTAATCGCAACCTAGATAGGTCTGCAGGTAGCGGTACACGAAACTCGGGTTTACAAGATCGACAGAGTGACGAATTCGGGGAAGGCAATAACGAATATGCAGATCGATACAATAGATATTATCGATCAAATAACAATTTCTTTTGAAAATATAATAATAGAAACTCTCAAAAGTATAAAAACAGTAATTGTAAATATAATAGTTATAGAAAAAAGAATAGTTGAAGATCAGACCTTTATCGATCTGAATATAACAATTACAAATCCAAAAGGTTTGAAAAACATTATCGACATAATGAGCGTACTCGTATCTTTAACGAGTCATGAGGAGAGGGTAATGGCAACAGCGATGCTACGGGTAGCTCTGATAGGCAGAATGTAATTTGGCAACCCGCTTGAAGAAAGGATACTCTATAAGAAACGGTCTCGTTTTACACAAGATTGCCTTGTTGTCCCTGATATAGACCATTTACGTACCAGTCTCATAGAAGAAGCTCACACTCAAATCTCCTCAACACACCCTGGAAAAACCAAGATCTGATTTGATTTGATTTCATTTACGTCCATGTTCAGTCTAAGACTATATAGGACGGCTAGGCCTTTAGAGGTTCTAGCAGGTAACTTTTTATTCTACAAAGATGAATATATTCGATTTAGGGAAATGAAAATAAATATTGAGGACTAGTGTCCGCTTATTATATGCATTGTATATAATAAGAAAAGGGAAATATAATACTTAAGAAATTAATAAGAGACTCTTTCCTTCTTCTTTTTCTTCTTCAATTACTATTCTTTCCATTTTTGTAATAACTTTTTTTCCTCTATTATTATATTTTTTTCTTTTTCTACTACCTCTTTTTCTTCTATTTCGTTTTGTATTAGAGTTCTAGTTAGATGCTATACCCTTATAGCTATTTTGATGATATTGATGAATTTAATAGCTAACTCGATATTAATTTGATATAAAATAGAAATTGTATAGTGATTTTGAATAAAGGTATCTCCTTAAAAATTTCTTTTCTTTCAGCTTTATATATAGAGCAACTAATAAGGAAATATTATAATACTTCGATATTATTATATATATATTTGTTATTAGAAAGTTTGAAGCAATATAAATAGAATTTAATATATTTATAATCTAATTTGAATTGAAAGAATATATTAGTAGTATTTCGATTAGTTCCGCTTAATAACTTGATTTTCAAGCCTATTTTCTAAGAAAATAGTTTCGAATAAATTAATAAGGATTGTTTGATCTGAATTTGTATTAATTGAAAATATCAAGCTATTGATCTGAAATATATTCCTTAATAATCATATTTAATAATTTAAAACTTATTTTATTCGAAATGGATTATATTGTGGTTACTTCTTTAACTAGCTTATCTGCTAGCTTATTTTCTTCAACTAAAATATAGCTAGGAATCCAATTTAGCGAGATTTCAGCTCTTTTTGCTTTGATAACCTTTATTGCTTTGATTATTCTTATTGATAGATCTATTCTGAATGATTTGAAGGAGTTTTTAGATAGTATAAATCAGCTTGATTGTCTGAATAAATTTTGAACTTTTGATTACTACAAGTAATGAAATTAGTATATTCGATAGCTTTTGTAATTTCAAAAAGCTCTCCATTATATATCAGTTGATTAGTATCAATATTACTTTGCTCTTAATATAGAATTCGGTTATTTGACTGTATAACTACTATGCCTATCCCAATGCTAATTCCCTTTCTAGTGGAGGAGGCATTAGTATAAATATAGGTGGTATCCTTATTCCTATATTTAAAGATAATATTATAAAGAATAATAGCATTTTTTTTGATGAATTGCTAATGTTGACTTTGAAAGGGATATCTCTTTTCCATAAAGGGAAGTTAAAGTGAATAATCTTTTTGAGTAAGAAAGGGTTGAAGTTCTGGTTTATCGATTTTCTGATTTTATTCAATTGAATAGGTTTATATCGTTTTCTTCGAGGTATAGGGATTACTCCTAAATCGGCTTGATATTGAGCTGAAGTTTCTTTTTCGGTATTGATTGGATGCTTTAGTAATAACTTAATTAATTAGAAAGCGTATTATCTGATATTTGAATCTAATCGGATTTTGAAAGGTTTT